CCATGGCAAAGTCCAAGGGAGTCCAAGGGGAAATCCGGGGCAAAGTCCAGGGTCCAAATCCAGTAGATCCATCCGTGACGCAAACAAGACACAGAACGGGATCCGGTACAACAAAACGGAACAAAACGGAACGGGATCCGGTACAGGGACTTGAAATAAAAACAAGATCATGAGTCCAGGCGTTTTTGAACCCCGAACTCAGCAGGGTCAGGATGCCGATAGGAGGCCAATGCCCTCAAGCTGGGGATGTAGGGCGACTTGGTGGTAGGCGGGCCTCCAGGCATCCGTCTTCCAGTGCAGAGCCCAGAATAGAGTGAGTGTCTGACTTTTAAGGAGTAGCTGGGTTGGAGGCAGGTGCACATGATCAACTAAAATCAACTAAAATGTGAAACCCTTAAGAGGAGGGATTACGATCGTGACAGGTCAGTACAGAAAACAATGGAGCAACAAAAAGCACGTAGAGCAAGAGGTAGGGAAAGAAATAAAAATGTATGAATCTCCGTACAGTAGTGTGCACTTGTCTTGCACAGAGGTGTAGGGGAGTAGTGTTACAGTATACACTACTGTAAGAGAAATGCACAATATCCTCATCACTGTGGCTATATGATTATATCTTTATTCAGAGAATGTTGGAACTTGAAGCACATGCTGCCCCAAATGAGTTTGTCTATGTCGATGAGGCAGGATTCAATCTGTCTAGAAGGTGACAATGGGGAAGAAAAATCACAGGACAGAGAGCAATGGTGGAGGTCCCAGGCCAAAGGGGTGGAAACGTCACCCTTTGTGCTGCAATCAGTCACTAGGGGATTATCCATCGGCATGCAAGTCTTGGGCCTTACAATTCAACACATCTGCTGGCATCCCTTGATGCGCTGCATGACCGATTGCTCCAACTCAGGGGCCCAGACAACACTTACATGTATTTTGTCATCTGGGACAGTGTAAGCTTCCACCGTGCAGTGGTGAACATTCATTACAGTGATTTTTTTTCCAGATGGTTTTGTTCAATTTATTGCGCTCCTACATGCATTTCCCCTCTTGATCAGAGAATTTACTTTTTTGACACACTGTGTTTTATTGTTGCTTTGTGAGAGTTACACATACAGTATGACAGTCGTGTGTGCCATTCAGACCTGAAAGTTTGGTTTTGAGGGCTGTGTATCTAGTTTTTCAGCCTTTGTGTGTTTTTTCCCTGGGTGTGTTACATTTTGAAGATGTGGTATTTTGTATTGGCGACAGTGTCAATGATTTTGTGATATTGGTGAATAGTTCTGAGAACTACAGTACATGCAAGCAATTGAGAAAAACTGTAACAGGAAATCTTAAGAGAAATGAAGAATATTGTAGGATTGCTGGAGAAAGGCTCCAATGAAAGTGTAATGGAACAATAAAACATAATGGAGTAATTAACATAATAACTCTAAGTTAATTTTAGATTGTTGTAGTTTTCACACACTCTGAATTATCTAACTGAACATTTGTTTTGTGAGCGAGGAACTTTGGAAGCTCTAATTTCTGAAAACTAGAATAACACGTCACTCATTCCCCAGCCATGCTGAAAAAAAGAAGAAAGAAAACACAACGTTTCGGCCGTGAAGCCTTCTTTAGGTATGAGCACACCTCACACCTGAAGAAGGCTCCATGGCCAATACGTTGTGTTTTCCTTCTTCTTTGTTTCAGCATGGAATAAACCTACAGTATTACTTGTTCCTTTGCAGCCCACGCATGCTGACGCAGCTACCCACCTGAACTATTTAGTCAACCATGTCTGACAGTGATCAAAACAGCATGAGAGCACACCAACTTTGTAACTAGTTTGTCCAACTCAGGGTCGCAGGGGAGCCAGAGCCTGTCCCGGCAAGCAACGGATGCAAGGCAGGGTACACCCTGGAGGGGACGCCAGGCCACCCCATGGTAGACCCAGACACATCCACAATCCCAGGGCCAGTTTTCCCAGAAGCCAGTTAACCTACCAGTATGATATTGGACTGTGGGAGGACACTGGTGCACCTGGAGGAAACCCTTGCAAACACAGAAAGAATATACAAACTCCACACAGATAGCAGCCTAGGAATTTAACCCAGGAGCTCAATACTGTGCACCTGCTGAGAGCACATCACGTAAGTATTCCCCTATTGTCCATTTTAGACAAGGTTGACCTCATACTGCCTGATTTTGTCATCCCAGTGACAATGTTTCCAGTAAGAGGACAAACAGTTATGGTCATGTGACAGCTGTTGTGCACACAGGCGAGCAGACAACTGTATAGGGCAGTCGTTTCCAAAACTGCTCTTGAGACACCCCTATCTCTACTGGATTTAGTTCTAGCTGTGTTCAGTATTATGGGCTAACTGATATAGAACATAACATCTCAAATTTTAATTTTATTAAAAATGGTATTAGGATCTGAAGGGGACACTCACTCCAAGGGTTTTCATATTTTATGCATCTCAGCTCTTCACACCTACGGGCAACACGAGACTGTGATGTACTGTCCCACCTCACTGCTGATGGAATTATTTCAGCATCACCACAAGGGTTCCAGTTTTTTCTCTATTTGACTTTCTCCGCCTCTAAACTCAGGCCGCTCTCATGGTCGTTTGTAATAAATAGAGAATCAGATAAGCTGGATGTCAGTCCTGTTTGGGATAGCTGTGACAACTCTGGGGCAAGCCTTCCTTCATAAACCTAGCACACCAGTACTATTTTTATTTAACCAAAACTGTAGGATTACACATGACCATCATGATGGCTCCTGTCACAGGTTTACTCAGAGTTCATGTACCCAGCACCACATTTACTGTAGAGTGTCCTGTGATGAGGTTTTTTTTTAGGTAAATGTGAATAGGGTGTTTTAATAGTAAATTTGTTGCAGCTGTGGCTCTGAGGCTTCTACTACTCCTTCTGAGTGAGAATTCACTTTTTTTCTCTGCTGAGAAAGTTATTTTCAATTGTGAGGAATGTTCTTTTTTGGACTGATTCCAAAAAATCTATTTTATGAAGTTGACTGTCCACTCTTCAAAACTTAATTAGTCTGTTGTCCCCATTTAAATTTGTTTTATTTCTTGTATTTCATTGTTAATTGCTCAACATTGTTTGGAAAGGTATTTTAAAAATTCTTAAATCGAGAATCCAAAACAAGATAAATCCAGTTAGACAGCTCAGCCCGGTTCTTTGTGTCCAATACTAATGACTCTGTGAGTAAAGATGTACAAACCCCAGACGCCTGCACTTAATATTCTGCCTTTATCTGTATCTACAATTTTTTTAGTCAGATAAAATTTTTTTCAAGGATTTTTATCAAGATTGTTTGAACTCTGTATATACCTTCTTTCAATCCTAGAGATTTGAGTGGTTTAACCTACTTCTGTACAGTATGTCATAACGTTTTGACAAATAATAGCCTTAACTCTTCTCATGGTCACACTTTTTTTTTTGAGATGTGGTGACAGAACACAGCACAATCTGTTATGTACTGCATGTTACCTTATTAAATTATTGCAAATGCTTACTTGTACATTACTTCCAGAAAATTCAAACTCGACACTTTTCTTCTGGCCTTTATCTTAACGTCAACTCAAAATTCAGTCAGTACATCGAAAACCCTTCATGAAACTAAACCACTTGACCATTCCATACGATGTCATATCTACAGCGGCCCTGAACTGAAATATTAGAATCTTTTACAACAAAATACAAATAAAATATGTCAGAGAGCAAACCATAAAGGCCTTCTATGAACACAAGGAAACTTGACGAGTAAGAACAACAGGGCTATGCATTACTTCTGAAAATCTTAATCCTTCAAGAAACATTGCTCATACTAATTGTATTATTGGCTACATGGTTGTGTCTTTTCGAGTACTTATGCTGTATTTAATAATGAAGTTGCCTAAATAAATCGCTCTGTTGAACGGGAATTACTTGTGTGAAAAAGGCATTACCTCATTACTGCTATTATTATTAT